TTAATTCGATTGATTGTTCAGCGAAACCTCCTTAAGAATCTTACTTCTCGATTGAACCAACCGTACTTCAAATATCTCGAAGTCCGGTTAAATTACGGGCGCTCTTCGTTCGAAAAAGATTAACAATGTTGCGCTATTTATCCTCCGAAAAAAAAACACATTATTGCACAATACTACTATTTCATATGGAATCTCGTGGGTGGTACAATAAACGAGTCCAGACCTGTTGAAAATTGGGTAGGAACATCAAACAAATTGGAAAGAGTGATGCACGATTAATTGATTCAAAAGAACTGAACAGTTTTGATAAATCTTTCAGTTGTTTTTCGAAGACAGGATACTTTGTTACATAGTTACCTCTGTCGGCACGCTGCCTCAATATGATTACAATCACCAGAGGGAGAGTTAACAGTAAAAACACGGAAGTCAAAATCAAATGCCCGACGATTCGGGGCAGTTCATTTTGTGTTTGATTAACTGTCACACCCATTCGATGACGATTTCTCTGATTGCTCTTAAATTTCCCAATAATCAGTGCATTAAGTATAATTATGAGACATGTCGGTATGATATAGGCTCCACAGTTCATTAACCACAATATAAACTGAACGCCCCAGTGCAGAGGATTCGGATACATGCAGCTTTGATCAAGAGTCTTTCCATCCGTAACTACGTCAGCGTGTACCAACTGCGGGGATAATAAAACACATAAACATATGATCACGACGGATAAGAAATAACTGAGCCGCCCGACGAAGAAGTCCCCCCGAAAACGAATCGGATTGTAGGTTGTAAGAAACCGATCGAAAGTGAACAGCACAAGCAGCGTGTTTGAAGAAAAGCTCGTCAATAATGTGCTGTAGCTCATGAGCTTACAACTCCATGATGAAAGTGTGTCCAGTTTTATATGAATGACACAATCACTAATCCAGTGTATTCCCCTTCCAAGGAAATCATCCAGTAGTGCGTCGAAGATGAGATCCAATGTCTCAAAAGTGGCAATCCACATAATGTGAACATTAAATCGGGATTTTTGTTTGTTCTGGAGGACGATGAAAGTGGCAAGCACCAGAACATTTCCAACAATTCCAAGGAGAACCAGCACTGGAGTCACGTATCCACGAAACTGGTAAACCATAATCTCCTCTCTTCTGTATTCGCTCTCCAAGCAGCCCATTTTTTGTCACCCACCAAACGTTTTCACATAATGTGATTGTTTGGTCCGCTGCTGCTGCTGCGTTTATATTTAGTATATTTTAGTACGCGCATCGGAACCAGAATCAACCAATGATCACTCGCTAGAGTTTATCGATTAAATAAGCGTGCGGTGCTCCTGTTTCTGACACGGGATGTTCACGCCCCTTGGAAATCCCGCAGCACTGGTGCGCTGTTAATACCCAACGATTATCAGAAAAGCAAAGCGGATATCTGCTATTAGATTCACGCAAGCAAACAAATGGATCATTGGCAGAATTATCAAGATTCTTCCGTTATCTTGACGTTTCACAACAGAAACAAAACATTAAGTTGCCAAAATAAAAATGCTTGTAATTAGGAAGTAATTTTGAGCGTGTTCCACTAACCAAATACTACCACGGATGATTAATATAAGGCGGAGGACGTAGGGAAATATGCGGCACAAGGCATTTTAGAGCTTTAAACGCATGACATGTCTGAGAGCATCTATTTGCTTCATCTTGGACAAAACAAAATTCCGTTACAGACAAGAGTTTGAAAGAAATCGTAAAAGTTTTGGGAGTCCAGAGGAGAGTTGCCATCAACGGCGGCTAACTTGAAGCTGTCGTGAAAGTCACTGTACTAAGTCTGCCCGGATAAAATAAGTGGAGAACACGGCCAGCTATAGAAACCAAAAGGTCTTACTGGTCGAAACGCAGTATCAATCTGGCAAATAACAACTCATATGAACAACTGTCGATCTGCCCAAATAACCACAGTACTCACTCAAGTATCTGAATTGATTATCCTTCGGAAGCCGTGTTTACAAGTGGCCGCGTATTTGTTTGTTCTGGATTTTTGACAAAGGCCACTTTTGTTCGCTCTTTTTATCCTGCTACAGAAAAGCTTGACAGTTATTACAAAGATGAACGTTTTTGGAAGTAACATGCCAGTACCCAAATGTCTTATTGATGGACTAGGTAATCATGCTTCGTTTTTCAGACTTACTAGTTGTTTTGTCAGGTGAATAGAGAGTCCGGAATTCTGCATTCAGCACTGCTAGTACCTCAGTCCAAGTGAGTGAGAGCTCTGTACATTTCAAATTAATTTTATTCATCATTTTGGTGAGGAGTTTGTGAGTATCCAAATTACATTTCCCTTAGAGCCAAAAGGGATCATTGTGGGAGCACGCATACTACTACAATGAATATTTGACGCGATTTTGTCTAGTCCATTAAGTTCACTCACCAGAGGAGTTCGGGAAAACCGCCTCGGTATTAAGCTGGTGTGGCGGACGAATGTAGCACCACATCACTGTACTCTACGACTCACTAGTCTTGCCCGTAAAGAGACGTTTGTTTCCAGTTAGATCTATGTCAAAGAAAACTGACATTTCTCACAGACATCTTTTTATTTAGTGATCCAATTTTCCTAATTTTTTTTAAATTCTCTTTTTCACTCCAGTCTCCTGAAATGAAGTTTGAGGAGCACTTCCGTTGACGCGCGCCTGGAGTCATAGAAAATTCCAAGTAAGACTCAACGAATTAGATTTTTGATGGTCATCTTAGAATTATTTCTGTCTAGTACGATCACGAACGCTGTTCTAGTCATCCAAAGACAATTCGGACTAATTTAGATACATTTTGCAAATAAGTCCTTCAAGAAGGAGAGTTACTGCAATCATTCTAATAAAAGAAATATTTGTTTGGAAAAAAAGTTATTCAGTTTTTTATACAAATAAATACATCATTTCTGTGCCCAGAAGATGCCCTCGTCGGGTGTGGACACCAAATGACATGACGTTGTCAATCAGCCGATTGTCACTCATGGTTTGATCCGTTTTCCTTCACAGTAAATTTTCCTTACCTGGATGGGTCAATACGACCCTACAATATCTATCGAAAAAACTGTCTAATGTAGCTTATCTGAATTTGTCTTGTTTCAGCCACAATTTCTGGATGCATGTTGTTACCCTAATGTTTGAAGATTTTCCAGCTGTTTTGACTACTATTTCAGATCGAATCATTTTGCTAACGAACTGCATGGCTGCGTTCGGGCGTTTGCACACACTGGGAACTGATAAGCGGAATGACTAGTATTGCTTGAACGCAGAGAGCGAATAGTTGTGTGTGAATGCCCAGGTCGCATTGTTAGTGGATGTGTCACTTACAGCATTAACTGAAAAATAGTTGTGTTCACAGTCAAACTTAGACTCCGCATGCACATAAACCGTCATTTGACCATTGTTCGTGATTAGTTGTTTAGCTTGCTTACTCGCGAAATATACTAATGGCTAAATATCATTACTATGACTTCCTGACAATCAGGCTATCAACCAACTCATGGAGCAGGTATTCAGTGGTCTGTAGTGCCTTGCACTACACATTGAGCGCAGTGTTTTGGCGTGCGGCCCATAGAACCCATAGAACTTAAGACACAGTACTGGTTGGTTTAAATACGCGAACCAGAACACAGCGTAATTCACCAGTAATTCGACGGAACCTCAACAAAACCGGAGCTTATATGAAAAATGTAGCACAAAAAGAAAGTTCAATTGCAGAGATTTACTAAAAGGGAGCCTTATATCAATGTATAATCTCCAAGAAAATGGAGCTGACATACATGGTCAGCCGATCGGACGCACCTAGGAAAGCTGTAAGTTTTGTTACGATACAGCAGATCAGGTCCTTTAGATGAAAACGTTTTTCAGAGGTAAAATGTTTGGCCAATTTTAAGGTTTCTTGGTGGCAATAAAAAATTCGGCTTACTGGGGCACCTTGAACAAAGATGACAACGACCATAAATTATGCACATCACACACAAACTCCAATTAAAAAAAACTGAGCTTACGGGGATGGTTCTCAGGTGGTGAGAGGAGCATGTTATGCTTTGTAGGACGACACTTCCTACCGCATGTATATGAGCTTCAGTAGAGAAGTGGTCGACTCAATTTGTAATAGTCATAGCAAGAATGCCAAATTTGTGGCCCAGCGAACATGATACAGTAGAGAAGTCAGTTAGTAGTCCGAGATAATTTTCGATGGAGATGCTAAGCGAAGGATTTATTGTGTAAGCGGACTTTGGTATTTCACCTAAACACCCAAATGATTAATCCATGTTTTAATAATCTCATTGTCGTTCGGATTACTCGTTCTGTTTTACGGAATCCTAAGCATAGACTTGTTTGTTCCTAAAGAATAACATTCTGGCCTGCAGTCCCTTTTCTTAACGGCAATTTGTGGTGTTCCCAAAACGTCAGTCATATGGAGAAGGGAGTTGAAATGCAGATTAAAAAGCGCACGTTCTCGATCGGGCACAGCTGTGCGCCCACAGAGATTTAGTGAAGAATAATTCTGTTTGCACCCATGCTTTTAAGGTAAGTTAAGTCTGATGGTAGTGCGAGAAATATTTGGCATCTTAGATTTCGTCCAAAAAGTGAAAACAATCTATGCTGAAGTCGCTTTTGTTCTTATTAAAGATGGTCACCGGTGCATATTTGCGAAAACCTTGGGTGTTTTAAACTTTCCTGAAAGTAGTTTGCCCACGTAACCCTTCGGCTACAAGCGGCTGGCCGTGACTAACTTGTTTTTAGACAGGATATGACACAAATCATCCTGTAACCACAGAAGCAACATCACATATTCACTAGCTGACTGGCTTCGCATATGTCTGTAGGACATATTGGCACTTCCTGAGCAGTATACGAATTTGCACTGTTCGTGGTACCTTATTTTTGAATTTTACTTAACCGTAAAGATTGTACCTCAGTCGCAAAGGTAAGTCTATTGTTCTCCCTGAGTTTCCCATCATCGTCGCTGTCTGAACAACCTGTGGTAAACACGCGTGGTTCATTGATGTACAATACTATTTTAGTGGATAGCCTTATTATGAAGAGAAGAATAAAAGTGAATGGTGGATGGACATGATTATAGCATATAAGAAACAGTCCGAGGTGCGTACATCTCCAATCGTTCATTCAGACGATCTGAAACCAAAACATAGAATGGCAGCAGCAGTTTAGTCGTACACGGAATCGCGCAGACCATATCCTGGAAGACCATATCCGGCAGGGACGGTACCCTGAATTTTTTAACTTACCTTTGTAACTTCCTGTCAGGTCAAAAGTTGACCTCCCCAGTTTTTGGGACATTCCAGACACGAAGGATCGCTTGCTTTTTAGAAGCCGACTAATCAAAGAGCGCAACAAACCTGTAGTATTTTATGCTGAACACATACTACGACTGACTTCCCCGTTGCACAATCGAACTCTTGCCCTTTAAATGTCTTATTAGGGATCCTTTGGCTTCAATGTAAGACAGCTATGTTTATGAGACGACGGTTAACGGAGACCTGTCGATCTCTTAGCTCCGCTACTCACACATTTCACGATATAACGAAACAATGGCGCCACAGTTAGCTACAAAAGTCTATTGAGGCACTGAGGTGTATCTGTGTGTCCGCAAAGGCGCTTCAAATAACCAAGCGCTACCTGAGGCTCAGAAATTCACACACTGGATCCAACCGTCAAACTAAAATCAGAACGTCACACAAATTTCTGGGCACTAAAAAACGCCCCACAAACTTGAGTGCTTCTCCTAGGGTTGCATTAAGTATGTTCGGTGACCGCATATTCGGGTGCATGAAACTACATTTTGTGGGTGCAATGCACATACAAATGGATGAGTTACTTGGTCTTTGCATTCAAAGCCCCTGCATCTTCCTTACGAAAACGAGGGCGTGTCTTGTGTGTATGTCGTATACATAAGATCTTCCTGGACATAAATTTGAATGCAGGGGTTTTGAAGGCATTCCGGCATTGGACTTAATTAATCGACAGTCATAAAACTAAGTAGGGGTGGAGGAAGCGGGTATCCATGTCGGGCGCCTATTTGGACCCGAAGCTTTTGGAGCCCCGTTATGCTCTAATCCGCTCGAAAGTTTGATAACGCGATGTCACTGAGTTTCTGGGTTATTCCTTTCTTAGCAGTCGTATACAAAAGA